GACTTATGTCTGACATGTCCACGTAAGTATACAGCATGACAGACTGATCAGAAAATATTGCATATTGCTAGGACACTACTTCATGGAAACCTGGGTATAGACAAAGGAATAAACACAGAAAAAGACAGGATTGAGGGTTCTGAATAAGCATATAAATCCCCAGCAAGCATGTCTGAGAATACCCAGAATATCATAGAACTGCCATTTCCTCCACAGACCCAGCTGCCAAGTAGTGTAAATAGGAAGCACAGAGAAAACTGCTGACAGACAGCAGAGGAGAGATCAGAGAGATGGGGGAGAAAACATCTGCTGGGATGATAACTGATAACTGTCCAGATGTGATGAAAAGGCTGAACGCTCAGACAAAAACACTAATTCCTAAGCAGGGAAAGTGAAAATAAATTCATACTTAAGACACTAGAAACACCAGAAATGAAGAGAAAAAAATTAAAAACCATTAGAGGAGAGACAATTCCTACAAGGGGCTGAGTAGCAGTATTACAGAAGGTCCTAAAATGTTAAAAGAAAATACTTTTAACCTGAAAAACATGTCTATACCCACTCAAACTATCAGGAAGAGTGGGGAGTGGACAAGCTGAGTGTTTACCACTGAGAACTTGTTGGAAGAAATAAGGAAAAAGGAAATTAGGTAAGCAAGGGATACAACAGTAGAAAAATTAATCCAAATAAGACACAAAAGGGGGGAGTAGCTGGGGGCTGGAGAGATGGCTCAGCGGTTAAGAACACTGTTCTTGCAGAAGACCTGGGTTCGAATCCCAGCACCCTCATGGCAGGATCCAACAGCCTATTCTGTCCTCCGTGGGCATTGCATGACATGGGTGAACTTACCTACATGAAGGCAATACACACATACACATAAAATAAGGCGGGGGGAGGGGTAGCTTCCTGGATATATAGTACATAGAAATCACAAAGCTTCCTGTATACTTTGTTCTGAAATGCAAACTGATGCCAAACCTCTCAATTTTCACTGAAGCCTTTTTTGTTTGTTTGTTTTGTTTTGTTGTTTTGAGACAAGACTTCCCTGCAGCCCCAGCTAGCTTGGAACTCGCTGTATAGATCAGGTTGGCCTCAGTCTCATAAGAGATTTGTCTGCCTGTGTTGGGATTAAAGGTGTGTGCCACTGTGCCCAGCTTTCACTGAATCTCTGAAATCTAAATGCCACTCATTAAAAAGAAAAATCCCTCAAATGCAAAGAACAGCTGTATATAATTTAAAAAACCTCAGAATAGAGACAGGTCTTAATTTTGAGCAGAAATGTTCTCCTACTTGTCCACCTGGCTTTTAAGGCTCCCACATCTGACCCCAGCTCCACATGCACACGCTGACGTGTCACAGCTTTATCATTGTGCCACAGTTAATCTACAAGTGCTTTCTCTTGCTTCTATCCAAAGACTACCTACCTTCTAAAGATAAAGTCCACTTTCCTCCCTAAACTTCCTAAGATGATTTCAAAGCATCTATGATTTCCTTTTTCCTATTTTGACTCTGCTATTACTAGTACATTAAAACACTATTATGTAAAATAAAAATACGTGTAAAATAAAAACAATGAGAACCCCACTATTATGTCAGTCTTTGTGTTAAATAAAACCTATGCTGGGCTGGAGAGATGGCTCAGTGGTAAAGAGCACTGTCTGCTCTTGCAGAGGACCTGGGTTTGGTTCCCAGCACCCACAAGGCAGCTAACAACTGTCTGTAACTCCAGCTCCAGGGGAACTGAGGCCCTCTTCTTGCAATGACCTCTGTGGGCACTGCAAGATACGGGTGTACCTACCTACATGCAGGTAATACATTCATACAAATAAAATTATAAAGTAATAAAAAAATATTTTTTTTTGGTCTTTTAGAGACAGGGTCTCCCTGTAGCCTCAGCTGTCCTGGAACTTACTATGTAGACCAGGCTGGCCTTGAACTCACAAAGATCTGCCTGCCTCTGCCTCCCAAGTGCTGGGATTAAAGGTGTGTGCCACCATGCCTGGCATAATTTTTTTTTTTTAAAAACACCTATGCCAAAAAGATAAAGCAAAATGAAACAAACTTTGAACCTTAAAATTCCTATCAAAATGGCCTGTCACCATCTTATTACAATCAGCCCCTAAAACTACCTAAGAGGCTCCACAATAGAGAACACAAGTCCAAACTTTATATGAAAAAAAAACCTTCCAAATATTTTCTCAAAAAATTGACTTCTTGAATTATTAAGACACCATTTTACACTAATCAAAAAGGTAACCTGCAGAAAAATAATAATCTGTGACAAAAAAAAGCCCAAACACCGTTTATCTTACAAATCCCTTATGTAATAGCACTGAATACAAATAAACTGGCTCAATCATTTTCCACTGCTCTAGACTTTATAAGTGATGCTACTTGAACATATGAGAGTAAATCCATGATTTCTGTCATCACTACTCATAGACCATGGTATTGTCATCAAGAACTTTGTATTTCTATGAGGGATCAGTCTAAAGTCTTGAACTAATGAAAATGTGCATTCAGAATTAGCAAATAATTCACGTGCATGTAATTTTCCCACTTGTAAAGCAATGTTCTTTTATCTACATATATCTTAAAATATTTTATAAGTCAAGCAATAAGAATAATAAAATGCAGCTTACTTCAATATTAATATCTGAATGAAGTCTATAAAAATAACTTTGGTCTTACCATGATATATATCCTGTAAAGAGCCACCACCACAAAATTCCATGCAAATCCAAAGTTTATCTCGCCTAGAAAGAGAAAATAGGCATGCATCATTTTTTCATGATTAAAATGGTTTGTTTGAGATAGAGATCATCTTGAAAAAAAATCATATAAATGCAGCATGCTTTTAAAAGGCGAACTCATCTCTATTAGTAAATGATTTATGTGCTGCTGTAGTTCAGCTCAATACTTAACACCATTTTTAGAATATAAACCTGTCAATCTCAAGTGAGATTTCCCTTTAGTTAAAAACTTCAGAGTTGTCACTTTGAAAGCACTCCTGTCAACAAAACATTTGCCATTCATCATATGAAAGTTTGCCCTCAGTGTAAACATTGCCCTCATATGAAGGTTTCATAGTAATCTTCCTGAAGTCTATAAAACTGACCACTGTTGTCTACATAGTACTTCTCATTCACATTCTAAAATAACATATAGTCACAGGAAAATTAGCAAAGATTTACATGGCCTTTTCTTCTGTTTATTCCTTTAGCAAATCATTCATTACTTTTTCTCTTAAAATGTACCAGGATCTGTACCATTCTTGGGGGCACAGATAGAGTAGGAGTCTCTGGACTTGGTAAACTCTAATTCAAAAGAAAGCTAATGCCCTAATGACTCATCTGTCTTTCTCATCACTGCCTTATCCAGCATATAAATATTTTTTCCGTAAGTGAATGAATGTATGAATGACTGAAAGAATAGAAACATATTAAATCAGAGGTCAGGAGACTATGGCAGTGAGCCAAATCTGGTCTGCTGCCTGGTTTTGTAGTCTTAGAACAATGCATGGTTAAATGGCTGGAGAACGAAAAAAGAAAAAAAATCAAGAGAACAATCCTGACATATGACAATGACGGGAAATTCAAACTTCAGTGCCCATAAACAAAGGTTTCTTGGAACACGGCCACACATATCCACTTCAATACTGTCTAGGCCATTCTTCCACCAAGACAGCAGATTTGAGCAGCTGTAACAGAGTCCATGTCACTCACAAAGCTACAGTACTTACTACATGGCTCTTGACAGACAGACAAGCATCCCATGCTTTCTCTCAGAAGCAGAAACTAAAAAGCACCTGAAAGTAGAACAGAGACTACTAGGGAAGGGGGAGGGAAACAAGAAGGGTGGGGAGGGGAGGATGGACAGGATCTTAGTATGAAACATGAATGTATGCAACGTCATAGTGAAGCCTGTTCATCTGTACCATGAATATATATTTATAAAAATTTTTAAATTTATAGGTATTTTATAAAGGAAAGGAAAAAAAAGTTTACTGAATTACTGTGAGAGCCTAGAAATAAAAACATCCAGGCAAATCAAGGGAAGGTTTTGGGACGAGAAAAAAAAAACATTTAAATTGGGTCTTGAAGTTCAAGTTGAAATTCACCAGGGAGAAACAGAGAAGGACCCTGGGCAAAAAAAATGGAAACTGAAAAGACAGCACATTTGGGAGACAGGGTAACAGTGTGAGTTAAATGCAAGCTGCCAGAAGAGGCAATGACCAGAGATGAAGCTAGAGTAAGCTGGGGTCACACTGTGAAACAGTTCCTGGCTGTAGACTCCCTGAAGTTATCTTTACCTGGAAAATATGCAGTTTGTCAAAGTCTCTCTGAAATGTGGAATTTAAAACCAAGTACTAGTCTGAGTGCTATATGAACAGTGCATTAAAAAGCAGCGCTGTTGGTATTAACAGGGGATCAGATAAGATGGTGGCTGAATTAGACCTAAGCAGTAACTTGGCTTGGTTGGGTGCAGTGGACCATATGGCATACAGCAAAGGCACACAATCTAGCAGGGTGCAAAAGTCAGCTAACCTGACAGTACAGAGAGCAAGGTACCATGGTTCCAGGTAAGGCTGAAGAGAGTAAAGCCTAAAAGAAATCTGAAGCCAATTAAGATTAGTATTTCCCAAGTGGTCCACAAACCAATGAAATTGTGGCATTATGGCTAACGTAGAAATTTCTGTTGTCATTTCTGATATAGTACAGATAAACAAATAAACCCCACAGAAATATCAGCCAGCTGCCCAATGGTCAGGTTTTAGGAAATCTCAGAATGGCTGCCGGGGGCCAGGAGACGTGTGGTTTTATTCAAAATAAGTAAGGAAGGCACTTCTGACTAGTGGTTGCTATACTAACATATTTAAAATTTCCAGAGAACCTAACAATTATTGTTTTTTAAAGACTACATTAAATTTCTCTTTTTAATACGTGTGTGCATGCATGTGTGTACATAGCATGTAGGGGGCTGGAGGACAACACTGGGTGTTAACCTCAGGAATGCTGTCCACTTCTTTTGCTAGTCTTTCATTGGCCTGGAATATACCAATTAGACTAGACTGGTGGTCACTGAGTTTGCAAGTATGTGCTACAAGGTCTGCCATTTTTATGTGGGTCCCAAGGACTGAACTCAGGTCCTCATGTTTGCAAGGCAACCAACTGAGCTTATCCCTCCTCCACTCTCATTCTTGTGCTTCATATATATATATATATATATATATACTATTAATTCCTTGTTGGATAAATAGCTAATAAAGATTTTTCTCATTCTACAGGCTGTCTTTTCACTTCTGTTACAGTTCATCTTACAGTCTATTTGTTTAAATCACCTTAAATTGTTCCAGTAACTCAACGAAGATGTAAAGTTTCCCTTTCCTTTTTAAGACTAAAATGAGATGGAATTGATTTGGTATCACTTTCCACTTCAGCCATGTTACTCACCACTTGTAAATGTTCAATGATTACATGATCAATAATTTAGCCACAGTATTTGCTGGGGAATAGCTGACATTAGGTTTGATAGCCTGTACTTTTTAAGAAATCCTCTTTTTCCCTTTTGTAAATTATTCATTGATTATCTCTAATCTTCAATACCTCTTCTGTTTTGAAAAGACATCCATTAATAGTGGATGACAGTCACATTTTCTAGATTTTCAGTATAAAGTTTATATAAATCTAAAAGCTTAAATTTATTTATGATGTCTAACTACTCTATAATTGTATCTGTCTAACGCTGCAACTCCATCTTAACAATGTTTTCCTGCCCTTTTCATTTGAAAACAATTCTCGACAGCAAAAAGGTGAATAGGAAATGAGGGCTCTGGTGTCTTATAGATTCACTGTTACACTCACAAGTGTACTGTCTTCCACTTATAATTAGGCCTTTCCCTATCTCCTCTTGTTTAAAAACAGTTTTATTCATTCTGTGCAAAGTGACTTTGCAGCTTATACAGGCAGAGGGAAAAATCAGGACTATATATGCTGATACTTTGTTTTTAAGACACTAAAATGCTTTACCTTTTTAACATTTCGTTAAAATCTTACTATAAAATTTTTTTGAAACTTGAATAATCAGAATCTATTAGAAAAATGACTCCATCTGTTCCCAGACCACCTCCACTGTGATGATAAATCTGCAGTATACTGGGTCATTCCCCAAGCCATCTAATAGGAAAGGGCTGAGAAATTGGCCTATTTTATGCAGGCCAACAATTTACATGAATTTTGTGGCTAGGCATCTAAATTGGAATAAAAGTAACTACTGAGATAAACTTGGCTTTAATAATAATGTTAAATAGATCAGCATTAAAATCTCAGCTCAACAAAAGGTTAGAAATCCTTTTCTTATTTTTGTAAAATTATCTTCCTTCCTTACCAAAAAAATGGAAAAATGAATGGGGAGGATGTCATTACTTTAACCTTCCAGTTTGATGTTTATTAGAGCATAGAAGGATGAAAATTCTAATAAGTATTATACTGATCTGAAAGTCTTATTCCCAAAACATACTTTTTAATCTTTCCACACCAGACTTAGAAATAATTTAATAAACTAAGTGTGACTTTTACATTCATCATATATATAGCATAATTAAAAAGTAAAACAGCTGGGCATGGTGGCACACGGATCTCTGTGAGTTCAAGGCTAGCCTGGTCTACATAGTGTGTTCCAGGACAGCTGGGACTACAGAGAGACCCTGTCTCAAAAAGACCAAAAAAAAAGTAAAACAAACTATGATAAGGACCACTGGGGTTCAGCACCTGCTATAAACTGGCATGCTCAATCAATTTTCCCTGGGACAGGGTGGCTTAGCTGTCCCCTGTCCCCTGGACTTTACTGTGAGTTAGCTCACTGATGAAAACACCTACCAATGGCTATGCCATTGTATTCACAAAAATAATTCAACTTAGGGGCTGGAGAGATGGCTCAGCGATTAAGAGCACTGACTGCTCTTGCAGAGGATCGGGTTTGATTCCCAGCACCTACATGGCGGCTATGAATAGTCCTTAACTCCAGTTCCAGGGGAATCTGAAGCCCTCTTCTGACCTCTGTGGCACTGCACAACATGGGTGCACTTACATACACGTAGGTGACACACTCATACACATAAAATAAAAATAATAAATAAAATATTAAAAAATAATTCAACTTCAACCATCAATGTGAAAAATATAAAGCTCAGTAGCTGTTAGATATTTTCAAGGAATAACTAAACTGTGAGTCAAATTTGAAATCTTTTGGTTCATTTCAAAACACTCTACAGTCATTCACTACATTCAGAAAGATACAGGTAACCCAGCTCGTGCTTGTCCTCTTCCTATGAGAAGCAGCTCTGTGCTTAGGGAATACAAGGTCATCGATGTATTATGCTAGCGATCATCAGTACAACCCAATGTCTTCCAAAGTCCTAATTCCTCTCAAACTCTGAAGAAATATTAACAGAAAACTGATGCGATTCAAGTAAAGAATCTTAGTTTAGCTAACAGGATTGTACTGATGCTAATTTCTTGGTTTGACTAACGTACCAAGGTTTTGTTCACATGAAGGAAAGGTGAGTAAAGGATCTATACAGAGAACTCTACCATTTTTGCAACTTTTCTATAGATCTAAAATATTTCAGAATCAAAGTTTCCTTTAAAAAAAAGAGTAGGGGCTGGAGAGATGGCTCAGCAGTTAAGAGCAAGGATGACTGCTCTTGCAGAGGATCCAGGTCACATTCCCAGCACCCACATGGTGGCTAACAACTGTCTGTAACTCCAGTTCCAAGGGAATCCAACACTCTCTTCTGACCTCTGTAGGCATTGCATGACATGGGTGCATTTACATCCATACAGGCAACACACTCATACACATACAATAAAAATAGTAAATATTTTTTAAAAGAATAGCTGGATGCAAATGGTGGCAACTACAGGCTTTATTCTCTGTCTGAGCATTCAGAAAAGCATTTGTAAACACATTTAAGGTCCTATTGTTTCCCTACCCAGCTCTGGCTCATGCTCTGGGGGGTGGGGAACTTCCTAGTTTTATATGCTTCTAAAGACCACCATCTCTTCCCTGGGTGGTTATTAAAGCAAATGTATGGTAATAAGTTTAACTGCCACCCCGTCTCAATTCCCTCACCATCCCCCACAGAATATACTGCCTCTCTGTTAAAATCTTTCAACAATTAATGCCCAATACCTATATATAGGTTAAGGCATCTCAATTCCCTCACCATCCCCCACAGAATATACTGCCTCTCTGTTAAAATCTTTCAACAATTAATGCCCAATACCTATATATAGGTCCTAATTAAGGCATAAAAGTTTCCTTTTTGCCTAAATATCCACAGTCATATCTAATGTAACCATATTCTCAGGCTCTAACAGGAGACTTATTAGTAGTCTCCTGAATACTTCATAGTTTTTCATGCATGCAATTCTTTCAACGAAAACTGACCCTTTCCAGACAGACATATATGCCTATTAATCTTTACCAACAGTAAAGGGGCTTCATTTCCGGAGCCTTCTGATTTCTCTTCTTTGCCAAATCAAACTTCTACTACTATTGCAACTAATGTATTATGTTCGGTCACTTACTTTTCTCTGTTTCTCCTAGACTATAAGCTGCTTTTTAAAAAGCAAAAGCTTGGTTTCCCAGAAATCAATACAGTACTTTACAAGTTAAGAAATAATGTAAAACCACTTTATAAACAGGGGTATAATGGTAATGTTAAGAAGTGATGATGATTTACAAATATTGAGATAAATTATATTCATCTAAACTAGTACTCTGTTATTTCCAAGGTTTAGAACATTTGACCTGAGCTGGTGAGACGGTTCAGTGAGTAAAGGCACTTGTCACCAAGCCTGATGACCTGAGTTCAGTCCCCAGTCCCTGGAGCCCATGGTAGAAGGAGAGAACCAATTCAAAGAAGTTGTCTTCTGAACTCCATTTGAGTACCAAGGCACCCTCCTCCCCCACATCAATCAATCTATATAAAATAAATACAAATTTTAGAATACTCGACCTAAACAAAATTTAGAAGGAGTCTGAGGTTAAAATCATCCTCAGCTCTAATGAGATTAAAGAGTAGGTCTCAGGTGATTTAACTGTTGTTTTAGAAAAACACAAACACAAATATTTAGACACTATGCTTTAATAATTAGCATGCTGTTTATTTAAATTTTAAGTGACCAGAGGAAAGCTTAGTCTATGTAGTTCTTGTTACACAGCACGCTGATGATACTGAAAAGCAAAGGAGAGAAAACCCTGTTAAGAACACCAGGCACTCTCTGCAGGAGCTCAGTCCTGGGCTCTCTCCATGAAGTGAGCAGAGCTGCCCTGCTACAGAGTGGGCTTCTGCAACTTAACTTATTCACTGGGCATCTATTAAACAAATTCATAAATCTAATCCCCAAGGGGCAGGTTTATCAATGGTCAAATCACATTTGTTCAGTTGTGTGTGTGTGTGTGTGTGTGTCTACTTTTTAAAAGAAGAGGTTGTAATAGCAGCCACATAGAAGAAAGTGGTGATGAAAAGTATGCATGTTAGAGGTGGTGTACCAAGCTCAAACAGACAAGCTCTTTGACCTTTTTAAAATTTTTTTTTTAATTTTATTTTATGTGTATGAGTGTGCTGCCTGCAAGGTATATAAGTGCACTTCTGTGGTGCAATGCCTGAGGAAATCAGAGGAGGGCAATGGATTCCCCTCGTACTGGAGTTACAGATGGTTGTTAATTAGCATGTGGGTGCTGGGAATTGAACCTGGGCCCTCTGCAAGAGCAGCCAGTGCTCTTAACCACTGAGTCATCTCTCTAGTTCCAGCTCCTTGCCCATTGTAAAGTAAGCTGGCTCCCTCTGAGGTGAAATCTGGCTTTCCAGGGCTAAGCAATATGGTAGTCCAAAGAGACATCAATGTGGGAATCGGCAGAGTCAGGCTTAAACCGGCAATAAGCAATTGGATAGTCTAAAGAAGAAAAGGTGCTCTACATTCTGTTCTCATCGTTAAGAGTGGGCTACATGACAAGATCTCTTGGTCCTTTCTAGCTCCAACACAACACAAGCCTGATTCTTAGGATTCCATCTAACATTTGGCTGAGTCTGGACTTCAATTAGGAATAAGGGAAGAGTATCTTCAGAAGAAAGCTAGAGAAAGGAAAGATGAATTGTTCTTTACTATACTTCCATTTGTTCTCAAGTAATTTTCAATACCAGTTTCAGAATAAAGTCACCTATTTATAAAAACCAGCATTTCCTCATGCTAGATTCGTGTAACACTGTAAGAACATAGTTTTATTGTTAAAAATGACTCTAACTTTATCTGTTTTGACTTTGGTTTGGTGGGCGATTTTGTTTTCTATAATCTTTGCATTTGTATAAAAATAAATAAAACCCTTTCAAGTTCAGTCCTTCAATAATCTTATTTGTAAGATAGAAATAACATTTACTAAA